CTAAGTAAATGAGCTTCCACTTCGCTTTACTAGCCGCTTTTCGGTTAGGTTCTTGTTACAACTAAAGGCCTTGGAAGAAAACCCTAATCGTTCTGCACAATGGCCGGACACCCTATACGGTCGCCCACTGGAGCAAGTGATCGACCTCCATAGATTCCGTTGGCTGGGACATGTGCTAGCATGTCACCAGAAAAGCCAAGGGTGGTCAAGCTAAGACCTGGCACGAGGGTATGAAAACCCTAACCAGGAGGCTAGGTCACATACGCCCCGTTAGACTCCCTGGCTGGGGATCTCGGGATGATGGTCACCGTTGGTTAGCTACACTGAGTGATATGGCAGGGTGGCTGGGGACCTCGGGATGATCGTAACCGATGGTTAGAGACACTGAATGATATGGCTGGGTGTCGCAAACAGTGGCATTCGTGAATCTTCTCAATTTCTTCCCAACCTTAGTCCACTGAACTTGTCCATTTTCCTTTCGAATTCCTTTCTTCTCCTATTCTTCATCCCAATGGGCAGCCAAAAGACAGCAACCAAAACCGGTGCACGAAAGTGCATGGTTAGTGATTGTTCAAACTGAAACGGACACTCTAATAGTATCCGTCCATCAAACCCGATGCATACACAAACTAAAAATAACTCCATACTGCATCGATCATCGCGCAGGATAATCAGGACCGTGCTGCCCATTGTATTGAGCAGGATGGGTAGTGGTTAGTGGGCTACTGCTCAGAAATCCCAACCTTTGTGTAAAGCAGTCATCCATACCCAACACCGTAGCCGTTCCATCAGGCAACTTGTTCGTCACTCGCCGAAGTTGGTAAGGAATTTACCTCCAAATAAAATGCTGAATATAAAGCCTCGTCAATCAAAAAATCTACGGGTCTTCGGTGTTAGGATTGATGTAAGTGAGTCAACAAACGTGTCTGGTGTGTACAATCGACTGTTTGGAGATTGACGTCTGCTGCGTATCGGAGCCGATAATCCAGGATCCCAGTACTCAAAGGTGCCGTATTTAGTTCGAGATAATTCCTCTGCGCGTCAGCTGACGGCGAAGCTTGTTTAGCAGGTCGGTCTGGAATAGACATTGTACACTTTAATGGGTTGGATATCTGTCAACAGTCGTTTATGCACGACGCGGCTTCGGGGATCAATCAGCATGCGAAAGTAAAGCAACAAAAGTTGTCTTCATCCCAATATATGTACCGACCCACTGCAGGTCTGTTACATAAAAGGGCGATTTCTACGACGAACTCACCGAAATCACTCAGTTCGTCTGAAGCATTGATACAGTCATGCTGGTAGGTGATTTTTAACTCGCGGGTTGGATAACAGCGCATCAGAAGCTTTGTTAGGCGGTCGTTGTGCTCTGTCCTACCAGCAAACAGTTAACGACAGTTGGCTGCGCAAACCATCTTTTCCTGTCTAGTAACAACTTAAGATGCATCTCTCGACGTAACACTCCAGTTAAACTGGTACGCTAACTCAAATCAACCACATAACATAACATAAGCTACCGTTGGCGTGGCTCATCACGAAACTTCATGTCCTTTTGGACCACCTACGCTGAATTTCGTCACGCTTTATTTTTGATGCATTTCACTAGTTGCCGACAAAACCAGTAAACTCGGTTAGCAGATCCAGTCGTTTCGAACCAAAACTAGAGCGTGAGATATGCGCGCTTCAGCGTGGCAGTGTACAGGTGAAAATTGGGACCGATTTACTCAGGCAACGCAGCGAGGGTCGCTTGTGGATCTGAGCTTGAAGTCCATCCGAAGCATTAAATATCTGGCGAATCAGTAGCTCTAAAGGAGATGATACGACAAATCCATACTATTGGGATCAGAACAGGGTGGGGTGGCGTCTGCAAAGTCCGCTGACGAAGCGACTTTAGAAGGACCGTGAAAAATGGTGGGCAACAGTTGCTAGTGAAATGGAAGTAGCAGCCTCATCTGGGAATAGTCTAGAATAGACTGTTCCAGCTGATACACCATACGGGAGTTGGGTGAACCACAGTCAGTGAAACATTCTGCGACAAAAGTTGGCAGGCTATTCACAATAGGGAACAACGACCTGACCGGTGGGCGGAGTACTTCAAAGAACCGTTCAGCTGGCCAAGTGCTAACCAAACAATCCCGTCTATCGTAGTTGAGGCTTTGTGGAGAGTGTCACGTGAACCTCCTACTGTAATAGAACTGCGGTCTTACATCCAAGTTGCAAAGAAAAGAAAAAAGCAAGACCTGACGTCTTCTCCCTCTGTTCCATTTGGCGGACTATGATCCTGTAGAATCCATTGGTGATTTAGAACGTAACATCTGGTCGCAAGAACGCATTCCATCATGTTGAAGTGAGTCACTGATCCTTTGAATTTTAGCGTTTTGACTGCACCGACCATTGTGGAATACATATGATTTCAATCGTTACCAAGATATCAAGTTCCGTCATAATTTGACGTCTTATGCCCTACCATAGACAACTTGCAGTATTCCGATTAGGTCGTTGTTGTATCAACCACATTTTCATGTTGCGTCAAGTCCCTTTGGTTACACTGTCGGCCAACGGCTGTCATGTTCCCTCACCTTGAGGGAGGCATTGAATCAGTTGATCGTGAAGCCCTAATGTGTGCACTTCTTAGAAAAGGGATGCTGCTGAAGTATGTGATCTTATTCCGGTCACTCTAATCGCATACTTCTAGTAGCTTGAGAGTCTAAGACGAGCTGAGCGGACCGTTCGAAAACTGGAGCCTTGTTTATGTTCGCGCTCATCCCGGGATAGTGAAAAACTAAGTTCCTAATGAAAATCGAAAGCTTTGGTTTACACAACCAATAATCTTGTACTTGTGGTATTTTTGGTTTCTGTGTTTCGGTTACCCATTCGAATGAAACAGCAAAGGGTAGATTAGAGTGATGATAGCTGAATCAATGTAAAGATAAGGATTTAGACTAGACTAAGATTGCAGAGAAATTGAGGATAGGCTCGAGCGCCGCGGTCAGATTTCTCGATGTCTAACGATTAGTAACGGTAATCTCCCGACCGGGTAGCCTGACGCGACCTGCATTTTTACGTCATTTGGTCGGAGTTTTCCTATCATCATATCTGACTTTAGTTTGATACTGCCTAATCATTTGGTAACTCAAACCCCAGCCAAATTAGCCGATGATTAGTGACGGAACTCCGATCAAGCCTTTTATGCATTCATTTCGAATCCACAGCCGATATTTGTGAACACGATGGAACGTGGCCGTCACCACGAATTTTTATACATTCAAAGATCTTTTTCTGTACATGTACTAAACGTGAAAGTCGCGAAGCAATTGATCTGTTTTTTCGAATAACTAGGTGTGTGTAGTGCTGTTGTAACTAGTACACCAGCCGATCTCATGTCAACTACTAGGTGATTTGATCTGTGTTTTCACGGGTGTCTGAGCATTCGCTGGTTTCGTTATAACATGACATGAGATTGAACTGTCATATCATCGGTTGTTGTTTTGCCATTCNCATTCGTTCTCAGAAATACCGCGTTTCCTGTTGACAGCTATTTTTCGATTCTGTATGTTGATTTCACACAAAAATAAACCTCAGGCAACGATCTGGATTACGCACTTTTCTCACTAGCAGTCCTGCGGACAGACTCTATAAGTTTCCACCCGAGTGCTAATTTCTAGGGTTAAGTTTACTGCTCGTCAGAATGATCATTTTACATGCGTTTCACCACAGCAGTATATAAAACCGATCACAGTACAATATTCTGCATGAAAAGAAGAAGCTCCATGGTTTACTCGCTGCCACGGTATTGTTAGATCGCCCACGCCAAAGCAGGTGAAATCTATCGCCAATTCAGCCATGAATTCCACCAGGAAGAAACGGCAACCATTAGTTTTTCCAGAGTCGTTTTGTTTGTAAACCGAATGACGTCTTCGGTAGGAACTGTACGGGCTGGCGTTCGATTGGATTGCGAATTCAGTAACCCTTGTTCGCTACTTTATCTCTGGCTTGTGTGATGGGCAATACTCGGAGTGGATCACCGTTGTGAGGATCCACTATTGGTGATAACCGGGGACCTAGGGATTTGAAGTGGCGAGCCGCATTAGTTCCCAATAGGTTAAGCGTGGTATTGAACCGGATAACGATAAATCTACCTACCACCAAAATTAATCACCGGTGGCTGATTTGAACCCAACCAGAACGCTGGATCACATAGGCTCTCTAGATGGGGACCCTGAGATCGTGGTAACCAGGGTTTAGAGACTGGATGATATAGTTGAGTGTCACAAACAGTGGCGCTGGTACATCTCAATATTCGTGCAACCTCAGTCTATATGAATTCTCTATCTTCCCCTTGAATTTGTTCTCGGCATTCCAATCTTCATTCTGCTCTTCTTTCCAACTGGGCGGCTAAAGGGTAACAACCAAAACCGGCGCACAAAAGAGCATGGTTAAAGGTTTTAAGAACTGACGCTGATTTGAACCGCTAGATCATCTTCGGAACTGAGTTGAAAAAAAATCAATTTCATCCCATACTGATTCGTGGGACAGAAAGTCCGATCAGACATGCGTATGCGCTTACACAACGATTCCTTGACTGAATAATTTTCAGTGGTCTTTGGATGTAGCTTCTGACCTATTATCTTTCCTCTCGCTAGTTTTGTTGAGACAGCTTTTTTCAGGGAGTTCAGCGAATGCCTGACAGTGTTGACCTTTTTCTGTAATGTTTCCTGCATGCATTTATATACCTTTTTATCTTGAAAATACTGAAGCTTCACCCTGCGGTTGCATGCAGCTATTCCGATCTCGCTTGACTCTAACTGCTGCTTATTTTACCAATAGCTCGGCAACGGAATACATTGCAGTTTCGTGTCCGCTAAGCATTCGGTTGTTTCGTTTGTGTTGTATCTGCTAATTTGACTTATGGTAGATGTTGCGAGCGCGTGCTGAAGGAGCAGCTTGTCACCAAACTACTTACATTTGGACGAACGATATAATGGGAACTAAATTAGTCAAGATACTTGATTGAGGTTGCGTTAGTTTTCTATCATTATTGACTTTCGTTTCATACTTTTACAGGTTGATCCGCGAATGTTTCCGACGTTAACTAAATGGACCCGCGGTCTGCAAATTCGCCACGTGCTCTTAGAATTACGTCAAAAGATGGCTTCCTCAGAGAACGGACGGCTTCCTCAACCGCCAGAGGGCTCTACCTTCTAGGTTCTTGTTATCCCAGCGCCCTGTGACCGACGCAACTTCACTGTTTTCTCTCTAATGTAATGGAAAGGGGCGATCCGTATTGTCGCATTTGCCCCCGTACCTTCGTCACCTGATCACATTAACTCCGGCTTCTTTCTCTCTCACCACTACATTTCGCCTAGATGATCTGGAAATCACTCCATTGTTTATCATCGATACCACGCGGTATCTGACGGAACACAAAATACAAACATGCCCAGGACGTTCCCTCTGGACAGACATCTTTCTGCTCCGACTCACTTCTGTTACCCCGTGTGAACAAAATCCCGCACAGTGCACTTTCTGCTTGCAACGGAACGATTCTGTGTGGCCTAGTCGGTTTCACTATGTTTGCAATATTTTTCTATACACGCGAGTACACACGTTTCCAGCCTTGTTTAAATTTGGTCTGACTGTTTGTGCGTGCCACGTGCTGATACGAAGACTGTAAAATGCCATAACCCTCGTTGCGTTTCATCCAGGTCTGCCAGTTGTCCTTGGTGCCGAATCTGTGTGATTAATAATCTCTTGGGGCATCTATAACGCATGTGACGAATGTAAACAAACGTGATCGAACCCGGTTTGAACCCATGAACCGCACATGAATGCCATGTTACTTCATTCTAGGGAGTTCCATACAAAGAGACTCCACTTTGGCGTGGTGCATTCTCACTTACCTTGTATGCATTGAGTTTGACCGCGAACAGTGAAGCTCGTTTCACTGCATCACGATGTAATATGATAATGATGGTGATTCAAGGCAGTTCGAATACCAGTTTATAAGGTCCATTTAAGTAGAAAATAATGGAATGAAGCTTGTCGGAGTCATGTCACTCACCTCTTCTCCATTACTTGCGAGTAGGAGTAGGATTGACCGTAGTTCAGATTTCTAGCTTACGCATAATTCTCAATTCCCCTTGTCAACTGTTAACACAGCATGAAGGGAATTCACATTTATTGGAGCTCATCAGTGGTGCATATCCACTTTGGACTCCGCACTCATCGCATGAAACATATGTTACCATCGTGCCAATCAGCTCACCCCATGACCGGCGAGAATCACCAATCTATGTTTGTTCGTATTCAGTGACCGCCACCCGGTTCGTTTTTTGACCCCGACTGGAACAGCGGGATAACTGGCTATCTTTTGACGAAATTCAATAACCTCATCAGATCCCAATTTTCGTGCATGCTCAGACAATCTTGCCAGAATCAAATCAGATGAGTTGAATTTTAATTAACTTTTTCCTCATTTATGTAAGTTGTAATTTTGAAAACACAGTGTCGGTACAGGTGAAAATAAGCCTACGTTTCGGTAGCCGTGTTTTCAAAATTACTACTTATATGAAGCATATCACAGCGCATCAATTTTTCGATACACTCCGAACGACGTTCGGAATTTCTTCATTTACATCGCAACGGTGCTTTTGAATAGCTGATATGGATTTGAAGTGACTTAATCTTTATACTCAGCGATAACCCGTTTTTTATGAGCGACCTAGGGTTCAAACCCCGAAGTTGATGTTTGATATGTACTAAAAATGGGCGCTAGCGGCGGTGGAACTCAAATTCAGCGTTTCCTAATTGAGTGACTGATTGGATAAACAAAACATTTGTGGGTGAAGGTGAAGTTAGAAGAATGGTCACTTGGAAGTAACACCACGTACTCCCGCAAGTCACAGTTCAATGAGTCTACATCTTTATGGTGTTCAATGTTGTCTACATCACTCCGAGATTCTAAAAGCTTTGGATCGTCCCGATTGTAGTTGATTTAATAGATATTTGGTTCAGATTTGTACCTTAAGGGATAGTCAATCCAATCAATGTCACTTATCCCACACCATAACACAGGTTGTGGTGGTGGCCCGATGGTAACGTCACCAAATTATCACCCCGTGGATGTGAGTTCGAATCCCACCACCACTACCTGATTTCCCCATTGTGTTGAATGGCAGCCCTTTGGTTGGCCGCTTCCCCCTTCCTGAAAATTGTATATTGAATAAAAGGAAGTAAAAATGAAAAGAAAGTGTGGAAGGAAATCCAGTTTCTTAGGTTTATGACAAGTCATCCCGAAACTCCATAAAAAAACATGATTTGGTGGAAGACTATCGAATACGATTACGAAATGAGCTGCTTCACATGCACAGATGATGAAACGTTGGTAAACAAATTGCCATGCTCGCGAACAGGCGAAATGCAACTCATCCGAGCTATGAGAATCGATTTTCAATCGTGTATTGTCGCTGTCGCTCCGAAAAATGAACTGACTTATCATTAAAGGTTAGGGTTGAACAGGCGTGAGATGACAAGTTTGGTCGGACCCGGTTGAAATGCACGCCATTTTTGCGACAGGTAAATGGTGCGGACGGGGCATTGACGAGAGAGCGCATTTCAAGTCTAGTACTACTTGGGTGTATAGTTGACTGGATACACTGAGGATCGCGCATAGAAGCAGTCTCAAGCATGATCAACCCAAATCAACATTCTTGTTTGCAGCTTCTTTACGTATTACCTTTCAATTGGATTTCCTATGAACTGAAACAAATAGATTGAAGACCGCCGGTTCACAGTTACTGGTTATTTCAATGCACTTTAACCGACAGGTGTAGAACACGAGAGA